GCCTTGCAGCCCAGCGCGGCCGCCGAGGAGCCGCTCGGCGGGGAAACGTGCGGGAAGCGGAGCTCGAGCGACAGCGCCGGCCCTGGAGAGCCGCCCGACGACCTCTGCGCACCGCAGGTCAGTAATTCTGCTCTCTCCTCTTGTTGTCTTTCATTCTTTTCGACCTCCACACCAAATGCAGCGTCCTATTCCTTAGGGGTTTCTCTGGGTAGCGTTGCTGAGAGGCACTGCTTCGTGTCACTCTGAAAGGATGAAGCAGAGCTGCATTTCAACTGTGCTTCGCAGTCGGCGATTAACAGCTTCAGCACGTGTTTAATCGGTAGTCACGCCATTGGGATCGGCTGAGATGTCGGAAATCTGTTGGTTAATTGTTTTGATAATTGTTATCTAATGTGATAATGTGCTATCATTAGTGTGGTGGATCAATGGTGTCCCAGTGCGATATCCCTGGGTAGCACTTTCTCCGTGTTTTTCTCACCACTGCTATCAGCTTTCTGATTCCTGATCTCTTCTTCACTTGCCTTTTATGTTCAGATGATTGTGCAGAATCACTTTGGAAAGAAACCGACATTTTGTATTGCAGAGCCTGTGGAAATACGAGTGCAGTTTCATGAATGGAAAAACTAACAATTATTGGGTGGCTATGGAGAAGATAGTAAATAAAAAAGCTAAGTAAGGAGTATCTTGTCAGATTATAATCTAGAAACAGTGATTAAATCTTGTAGACTGGCTCAAGGCTCTTCTTAGGCCTTCCTACTACTAATTTTTAAGAACCATGGCAGGAGATTTAAAAAATTACCCCATTTCACTGAATTTCTGAGGTTTTGTTTGGAAACAGAATAATTTGACATATCTCAGTTTCACGTTTCTGATTAGCTCCATAGGATGTGTTTTAATTAATTGTTTAAATTTTGTTGCACTTGTTCTGTAGTTCCAGTAGTTTGTATTCTTGATGAGTTTGATGAGACTGTATTCAAGTGGAATATTAATTTCTCCTTGTTTAACTTAACTTTATACTGTACACAGACAGTTTGGTTTTTCATGATCACGTGTTGAGTAAAGAAATGTCTTTGCATCCATCTGTGTTGCAGTCTTTGGAAATGTGATGGAGAAACAGCTGGGCAGGTGGTCTTTTGGAGATGTTTGTTTGTCTGGTCTGAAGATCAAAGAGAATCATACAATTTGGGGGGCATTTGAGAATGGCTGCAAGGTTCTGTGTTTGCAGGGCTCTTGGAAGGAAGAGGAGATGTTTGGCTGATTCCCAAGCGTTTAATATTGGCTTATTGAGAATGGAGGAATCTCTGTCTTTGGTAGCTATGGCAACAGCCATTTGTTTTCTTGTATTTGGAGGACAAATCACACAGTGAGGTCTGAAGATTCTTAGGGCAAGTGAAAACCTTAAACTGCAGTTTAGTTTTAAATATATAGAAGATAGGTGTTCATATGCAGTTTGCCCAGGCTTTGAATCTAGGCCTGATGTTATGAATCTATGTATTTTCCTTCTGTTATCCAAATGACTTTCAAGAACTATGGCTATAATGTGTGTTTTGAGGTCTTGGACAAGGCACCCGTGTCTTTGTTCTGTATTGGATGGAAGGGGACAGACTTTCTAGTAGGGTCTGCTGTAACAGGACTTTTGGAAACAGTTTCAGACCAGAGGAGAGGAGATTGAGGTTGGATATAAGCAAGAAGTTTTTTACAGTAAGGACTGGATCAGGATGCCCAGAGGCATGGAGGATGCCCTGTCCTTAGAGGTCAAGGTCAGGTTGGACCAGGCTCTGAGCAACCTGATCGAGCTGCAGATGTCCCTGTTCACTGCAGGGCAGTTGGACTAGATGACCTTTAAGGGTCCCTTCTAACTCGACTCTGTGATTCTGCCTGTACCAAGTGGCATAATCAGCACTGTTCATCTCTGAATCTGTTGCTTGTATAGGTTTCATTTCTTCCTTCTTTCTGGTTTAGGTCTCAAGACAGACCTCGGTGTGGCACATAATCCTTTAGAAGACTGGAAAATATAGCCTGGCCTGGAGGAGCCTTTTAAATTGATGCCTTGAACGTTTACAGATGTTGAGGCGTAGACTGTGATACACTTAATTTTCCTTAAAATACCACTGAATGAAATGCTCTTGCCTGTGGATTAGATGTAGCCAAATATGCTTTCTGCGGTGCAACTGAAGGCTTTGAATGCAGAGTACAGAGAGGGATGGTGTGAATTTGTACCTGGAGAATAGCTGTCTTGCTGTGGTTTTGGCAGGCAATGCTTTGATTTCATAGTTGATGCCTTGATATACTCCTGCTCGAGTCCCTGTTGTCTTCTTTTACGAGGCACTGATAATTCCCTGATCATAAGTTATTTGCATGTGAACTGTGCACGTGGAACAAGGATGAATGGCTTATAAATATTATTATTGTAACAGCTTAGAATTTCTGCGTGAAACCACATTTAAACATCAGTATCTTCTTGTGTTGTGATGTAAAGTTTCTACCTGGTCAGAACTACGTTTTCAGGCCTTGGTTTCCATGAGGTCATGGTTCATGTTCATCATTTCTGAAGAAGGCTGCAGCTGGAATTGTGACTGTTGTTTTGTAGGAAATCCTTCCTTCTCTTTTCAAGGTCTCCAAACACCTGAAGACAGATCTTTATGTGTGAAGGAAATGATGCAGAAGGTGAAAAAGAATGTCTCAAAATTTATCAGAAATGTTTTTCTTAGAATGAGGCCTATGACAAGGAGCTTGCACTAATGGTTCCTTCATTTCTGCTGTGCTTCAGATAGTAATCTTCTTGTCGTGATCTAAGGCTATGCCTCCATGAGTGTGCTGTTGTACATAAGATGCTTTTAAGATGTGGATACCAGACATTCATTGCCCTTTATCATGGAATCACAGAAGTGCAGGGGTTGGAAGGAACCTCAGCAGATCATGAAGTCCAACCCCCTGCTAAAGCAGGTTGCCAACAGTAGGTTGCACAGGAAAGCATCCAGGTGGGTCTTCAATATCTCCAGAGGAGGAAACTCCACCACCTCTCTGGACAGTCTCTTCCAGAGCTGTCACTGATGGTGAAGAAGTTTCCTTTGGGTACGTATGAAATTTCCTTTGTTCCAGTTTCTCCACACCTCTCCATGTTCTATTTGCTACTCACCACCCAAAAGAGCCTTGCTACATAAACATGAACAGCACACTTGAGATATACATAAACCACGATGAGATCATCTCTCAGCCTTCTCTTCTCCAGACTGAACAGTCGCAGCCCTTTCAGCTTTTCTTTGTACAGGAGATGCCCCATGCCCTGACCTTTGTGTCTTCCTGCTGGTCTCTTTCTGGAAGATCCCTGTGAACTGAGAAGCCCAGAACTTACTGGGCACAGTATTTCTTGTGTGACCTCACAAGGGCAGAGCAGAGGGGGAGGAGCACCTCCATCAACCTGTTTGCCACGCTGTTCTTGATGCACTCTAATATACCACTGGCCTTTGTGCCACAAGGGCACACTGCTTGCTCATGGCCAACTGCTATCCACCAGGACACCCAAGTCCTCCTCAGAGCTCCTTCCCAGCAGGTCATCCCCTAATCTGTACTGAAGCATACAGTTATTAAGTTTTCAGAGTAATGACAGTGAGGAGGAAAGATCACCTATCTGCATGTTATAGCTCATTTTTTCACTGAATGATGTCCTCTTGGATCAGATGAAACTTAGAAAACAGACCTCTCATTCTTAAAATGTGTCTCAATGCTGTGTTGAATCACGTTTTGTACTGCGAAGAATGTTATACATTCCAAATCTCCCATTCAAAAATGGTGTGCTTGGACATGAATGCTAACACAGAACAAAAGTATGATGCCTTGTTTGTCTCTGTAGCAGGAGTGTAGAAAGGGTGAGCAGGCAGCTGCCTAACAGCAGCACCATGGGGACAGGGAGAGTGCTTTGCTAACTTGTTTCTAAAGGGTGCATTGTATGGGAGGTACTTTTATGTTCAGAGATGGATCCCACATGTAAGATACTGACCAGGAAATGAAAACAAGTTACAAGTGCATGTAGCACTTGCACTATCGTACACTGCAAGAAAGAGGAGGAAAATGTCATTGAGAAAGGACTACAAGGAATAATAATGGCAATCGCTGCTGAAAAAATCTCTTCTACAATAAAGAACTCAAAACTATTTCACATCAAATGCATGAGAGAAACAGATGAGAAGAGGTGCCATTCCCATTCTCACTGATCGTAAACATGTTGAAAAACAGAAAGGACGGTGCCAGCCGCTTCACGAATAAAACGAGAGCAGGAAGCAAAATTCAGAAAATCTGCAAAAGAAACTCGCGATGCCAGCCCTTCTACGCTTATTCGGTGGAGCCGTGCGTGCAGTGCCGGGCGTCGGCTGCGGGCGCCGC